CGTAATTTACATTGCCTCACTGAGCCAAATCCTCCATTTGTTTTTCACATGTTCCCCCCTTCCATCCAGATTTTGCAGCTCATAGTGGGAGGATTTCAGTAACAGAGGCCTTGTGGTCAATCTAGAAAGAAACACGAGTTGTGAGCAGGTGCTGGTTGACAAACTTTATAGGCATGTGAACAGCCACACCCCTGCAGCAGCACTGCTCTGAATTTAGAAGCAGTAAAGCATTGTTACCATTCCATCACAGGAAGCTGCATTGGGTGGACTTCAGTAGCAATCTTAGAAGGTTGTGGGCAGGGCCTCTGATAAAGCAGTACAACTGGCCCTCCAGTACCGGGTCCAGGCCCCATTGGTTCAGCAAGGGAGCCCGGGCAGATTTATTGCTCATTCATGGACTTCTGCTGCAGCACTTTTAGGTAGATCACCACCACTCCTACTTGAGGAACTTTAGTTCGACAGAGAGGCCCAGAAGGTGAGAGCAGTGAGGGGACTTTTTCTTTATTTTAGACATGCAGGTGGACAAAGCCAGCACAGCAGGTCCTGAAATTAAAGTTTCCGGCCAGCTGCGACAACCCACAGCCTTTCCCTGGTGCAGTGATACTCAGAAAAGTTTAGGCAAAAAGCAGGAGGTAGCTGAGGGAACAGGCTTGGAGTTCCTCCAACGGGTATACAGGCTGATAGCAGGGCATGGAAGGTACAGTCATTACACAGTACAGCCTCAGTATCAGCATATACAATACAACCACAGAGTGTGGCTGTTCAGTACAGGTGCGTCACTATGGGGGTGCAGATTGCACTCGGGTGACACCTGTCAGAGGGGTGACATCATTAGGACCACAAGGGGCCCGGCCGACCCAAGCTGCCCACTCCGCTGTACTTTATTTCAGTAACGAGGGGAGGGGGGAACATGGCTCAACAGACAGGCTCCTCCTGATCCTCCTCTCACCTACAGCTTCCTTTGTTTGGCCAGGCGAGGTATCGGTGATCATGTAACCGGCAGTGATAGAGCACAGTTCAGTCAAACTGAGTCCAGAAGACTAGAGAAAGATGGAGAGGAGAGCAGAACAGCAGTGTGTGCCTGGGGAAGCCTTCCAACTCAATGCAAGTTCTAGTATTACTCCTGCACAATTCCTTTCCTTTTACTGGGAGCTGAGTTAACATTCCTGCAGACTGTGATTATAGGGATGCTGAGATTCTACATCTGTAGATGTGGGCCTGTGTTGCCAGCCTGCCTGTGACTCTCTCTTTGCTGGACTGTGCCGTCCCTTTGCTGAATATATTAGGATGTCTCTTTCCTTGATTGGGATGTCTCTTTGCAGGATTGGGCCATCTCTTTGTTGGATTGGGCTATTTCAAATGCTGGGTTGGGCCATCTCTTTGCTGAATATATTGGGATGTCTCTTTACTGAATATATCGAAATGTCTCTTTGCTGGATTGGGCCATCTCTGTTTCATTGCTGGATTGGGCCTTCTTTTTGTTGAATATATAGAGATGACTCTTTGCTGGATTGGGCCATCTTTTTGCTGAATGTTTGGGGATGTTTCTTTGCTGGATTGGGCTCTTTGCTGAATATATGGGGTTTTCTCTTTGCTGCTCTTTGGACAAAATATAATTCCTTACTGTTAAATCTTGAAAGCACTGATGACTTGGAATACATTTTTTATTTTCATATATTATGTTGTAAGAGTGAAAATAAAAATGGGTGCACTGAAGGACTCAGTGGGATGGTCAGTGGGCACATTTGGTGGGACCGTGGATGGTCAGGCCTGCGGGACCCAGGCCTAAAGCTGCATAAGGAGTCCCAACATTTTTGATGGCTGTGCTGGACACCATCAAGCCTGCACTAAGCCTGCCCAGCACTCTGCAGGGCACTGTGGCAGGCTAGACAGGAGAGAGCCTGATGCACTAGCGTGTCCAGTGTCTACTGCTCTGTCATGCTCCTGCTTTCACTCTGCAGCAGCAGTAAAGAGCATGGTGGCAGGCTGGGGGGGAGAGCCACACTGTTGGTGAGGTAAAACATGGTGGGGGGGAGTGACACCATGTTTTACTGCACCAGGTGACACCAACCCTAGTGACGCCACTGTTTTTTTTTTTGTTTTTTTTTAAAGAATATTTATTGGGTTTTAACAGGGTTGAACCAATCGAAAAGTCATTAAAATTAAGATACACTTGCCACAATAATTCTGGTCGGAGTGGTAGAAGAACAGTGTATAAGAGAAGACAAATCATAGAAAAAGAAGAAAGGATAATATTAATTCAGTGTGGTGAGAGCAGTTAATAGGAAGCGTTCATATGACATCGAATTTAAAGTAGGTATGAGTAAGTAATGAATAGAATGGTTTATGTGAATGATAGGTATATAGAGTATGCTTAGGAGAGAAGGTATTAGAAGCCAATAGAAAGTGTGTAATCAAAGAGTACGGTGGAGATGAGGATGGCTTGTAAGCGATGTTAGGTGAGTTGGGTGTCATAGAAGGCATTTGTTATCCACCAGCGACCTCGCGAAGATGAGTGTCAGGAATGGACTCGCCAGTGGTGGTGGTACTCACCTGCCTTGTGGGCTGCAGTACCAAGGCTTGCCAGCGGGTGCTCTCAGCAGGCAGAATCTCACTCCTGCAATCAGGCCATCACCTGTCCTGCAATCAGGCCATCACCTGAGGCTGATTGCAGGAGGTGTATTTAAGCAGGACCAGGCCTGTGATCAGTGCCTTGGTGTATCTTTCCCATGAGCCCCTGTGCCTGCATCCTGTCTGCTTCCTGCCTGATCCTGCTTTGATCCTGATCCTGACTCTGAATGTACTCCACCTGTCCTGACCTCGGCTATTCCTGACCACTCTTCCGCTCGCTCCTGGTACCCTGTTTGCCCGTTTGCTACCGACCCGGGCTGCCCAACTACGTTTGATTGTATATATGGTTGTCTATTGGAGGTTGGGTTGTTTGCACTGTGTTATGTTTACCTTGCACTGCGTTTGTGTTGTTTAGTCATTTAATAAATTGTCTTGTTTACTCTATACCTGAAGCCTGCATTTCCCTGTGTCAGTCCACACACCTCTGGTCATACCCGGAGCCCTGACATTACACCAAGGCCATTCCTCACCAGAAGTGGCTGCACAGGGAAGCCATCTAGGCTTGTTGTGAAGGATGCATCCGGAGGAGGTTATATACTTGTATCTGCTAGTCTTAGATGACAGAGAATATGTGTATCAGACTTTGCAGGAGTATGCCAGGGATCAGCTGCTAGAGTGCATACGGGTCGCTCATTCCCTAGTAGATCAGGGCACGGAGTTCTCTGAGGTGCAACCATTGATTCAGGCTTGTGTTGAGTTGGCTTCATCTAATACCCCTGAAAGCAGGAATGACTTTCTTCCACCATTCAGTACGGATCAAATAGAATCATTGGTATGGTTTTTGGAGGATGATCCGGATTGCTTCTGGGAGCATTATTCAGCATGTTCACCACATGTCCTAGTGAACTGTATAAACGCAGTGCAGTTTTTGGTCAGACAGGCTATGTGTAAGCTGAGTTTTGTTCAACCAATACTACAGTCCTGGTCAGACTTGTTACACCCAGCCTCAGGCAGCTTGCAACAAACCAGTTCTGCTTCCAATCATTCCTCTGCTCAAAGCTCTACTCCTGCATTCCCGACAGCACCCCCTGTGACAGCCCAATATACCCTGTTATCTACCACATATCAGTACCCTGTTCCCACTCGCTGCACCTATCCTGCCTTTAACCCTGTAAAAAAGGCCACTGTAGCAACTATTCCCTCCTCTGTTCCATCCTCCAGCTCTTCTCTGTCTCCAGCTACTCCCTCCATTTACAGACCTGCATTTACTTGCAGTGCCCCAGTAACTAAACCCAAGAAGAAGCAAAAATTATTTCCAACCAGTACCATCCTACCAGTATCCAAATCGGTCAGCCTGCTGTTTGAGCACCCGCCTTCCGTTGTTCAGCCTGATCCCCTGATGCCTGATGACCCAGTGTACGCTACCCAGGCTGATGACCCGATGCGGCCTGATGACCCTACCCGGCCTGATGATCCTACCCAGCCTGATGATCCTACCCAGCCTGATGATCCTACCCAGCCTGATGATCCTATCCAGCTTGATGATCTGGTGCCCGCTACCCAGCCTGATGACCCGATCCAGCCTGATGACTCAATCCAGCCTGATGATCCTGTCCAGCTTGATGATCTGGTGCCCGCTACCCAGCCTGAAGGCCCGATCCGGCCTGATGACCCGGTGCCTGCCTGCTGTCGTGCCTGGTGACTCGGTGCCCGCTGCCGAGCTTGGTGACTCGGTGCCAGCTGTCGAGCTTGGTGACTCGGTGCCCACTGTCGTGCCAGGTGACTCGGTGCCCGCTGTCGAGCTTGGTGACTCGTGCCCGCTGTTCTGCCAGATGACTCGGTGCCCGCTGTCATACCAGATGACTCAGTGCCCGCTGTCGAGCTTGGTGACTCGGTGCCCGCTGTCGTGCCAGATGACTCGGTGCCCGCTGTCGTGCCAGATGACTCGGTGCCCGCTGTCGTGCCAGATGACTCGGTGCCCGCTGTCGTGCCAGATGACTCGGTGCCCGCTGTCGAGCTTGGTGACTCAGTGCCCGCTGTCGTGCCAGATGACTCGGTGCCTGCTGTCATGCCAGATGACTCGGTGCCTGCTGTCATGCCAGATGACTCGGTGCCCGCTGTCGTGCCAGATGACTTGGTGCCCGCTGTCGTGCCAGATGACTTGGTGCCCGCTGTCGTGCCAGATGACTCGGTGCCCGCTGTCAAGCTTGGTGACTCGGTGCCCGCTGTTCTGCCAGATGACTCGGTGCCCGCTGTCGTGCCAGATGACTCGGTGCCCGCTGTCGTGCCAGATGACTCGGTGCCCGCTGTCGTGCCAGATGACTCGGTGCCCGCTGTTCTGCCAGATGACTCGGTGCCCGCTGTTCTGCCAGATGACTCGGTGCCCGCTGTCGTGCCAGGTGACTTGGTGCCCGCTGTCGAGCCTGGTGACTCGGTGCCCGCTGTCGAGCCTGGTGACTCGGTGCCTGCTGCCTCACTTGATGGCCTGCTGCCTTGCCTGATGGCCGGTGCCCGCTGCCCAGCCTGATGTGCCTCTGCCCGCTGCCCAGCCTGATGTGCCTCTGCCCGCTGCCCAGCCTGATGTGCCTCTGCCCGCTGCCCAGCCTGATGTGCCTCTGCCCGCTGCCCAGCCTGATGTGCCTCTGCCGCGCTGCCCAGCCTGATGTGCTGCCCAGCCTGATGTGCCTCTGCTCGCTGCCCAGCCTGATGTGCCTCTGCCCGCTGCCCAGCCCGATGTGCCAGCCCCTGATATCCAGTCAGTTACCTGACCCGTGCGGTGGAACATTTCACCCACTAAGGACTGTTTGGAGCGTCCTGAGGCCGCTCCTTGAGGAGGGGGGGGGTACTGTCAGGGATGGACTCGCCAATGGTGGTGGGACTCACCTGCCTTGTGGGCTGCAGTACCAAGGCTGGCCAGCGGGTGCTCTCAGCAGCCAGAATCTCACTCCTGCAATCAGGCCATCACCTGAGGCTGATTGCAGGAGGTGTATTTAAGCAGGACCAGGCCTGTGATCAGTGCCTTGGTGTATGTTTCCCATGAAAAGAACAGTGTATAAGAGAAGAAAAATCATAGAAAAAGAAGAAAGGATAATATTAATTCAGTGTGGTGAGAGCAGTTAATAGAAAGCGTTCATATGACATCAAATTTTAAAGTAGGTATGAGTAAGTAATGAATAGAATGGTTTATGTGAATGATAGGTATATAGAGTATGCTTAGTAGAGAAGGTATTAGAAGCCAATAGAAAGTGTGTAATCAAAGAGTACGGTGGAGATGAGGATGGCTTGTAAGCAATGTTAGGTGAGTTGGGTGTCATTGAAGGCATTTGTTATCCACCAGCGACCTCGCGAAGATGAGTGTCAGGAATGGACTCGCCAATGGTGGTGGGACTCGCCTGCCTAGTGGGCTGCAGTACCAAGGCTTGCCAGCGGGTGCTCTCAGCAGCCAGAATCTCACTCCTGCAATCAGGCCATCACCTGAGGCTGATTGCAGGAGGTATATTTAAGCAGGACCAGGCCTGTGATCAGTGTCTTGGTGTATGTTTCCCATGAGCCCTTGTACCTGCATCCTGTCTGCTTCCTGCCTAATCTTGCTTTGATCCTGACTCTGAACGAACTCCACCTGTCCTGACCTCAGCTATTCCTGACCACTCTTCCGCTCGCTCCTGGTACCCTGTTTGCCCGTTTGCTACCGACCCGGCCTGCCCAACTACGTTTGATTGTATATATGGTTATCTGTTGGAGGTTGGGTTGTTTGCACTGTGTTATGTTTACCTTGCACTGCGTTTGTGGTGTTCAGTCTTTTAATAAATTGTCTTGTTTACTCTATACCTGAAGCCTGCATTTCCCTGTGTCAGTCCACACACCTCTGGTCATACCTGGAGCCCTGACAATGAGTGATAAAAGAGAAAGTGTCTGTGGACTCGGAATCTGAGATTAGGTAATGTGGAAGAAGAGGAAGAAAGCGAAAGGAAAGAGAGGTAAAGAGGACGAGATAATGGTAGAAAGAGTGATCAAATGAAAATAGAGGAGAGAAAAGGTATCACCCGGAGATCCAGTTAGGTTAGATTGGAGAGAAAGAGAGGGAAACAAAAGATAAAAGAAAAAGGGAAAGAAGGAAGTCAGTGTGTACGGGTTCCACCGTAAGAAATGTGGCAGGGGTGACATGTCATTGTGTTTAGTAGGTCCATAGTATAGGTATGGTGTGTGTGGAAAAAGATGTCGAAAGAAGATGTACAGGAGAGGGGGTGAGAAACAACAAAGCAATATAACATCTCATCCATCAATATCTAAATCTATTGAAATGGTATGATACGGCTCCAATGGCATTGGGATCAAAGAGGATTTTTGTTAAACGGTTTAGTGAATGAGGATTGTGCAGATAATAAGCTTGTTCCTGTGTGGATAAGGATCCCTTGATGTAGGATTCCCATTTGCGGAAGTAAGAAGACTCTTTTGAGGAGGTTGGGGAAATGATGAGGTTGAGCCTGTCAAGGCGTAGAAGAGAATGAAGTTCCTGTTTGACATCAGATAATATTGGGGGGCAGTTGGAGACCCATTTCCAGAGAATGGCACGTCTGGCTATTAGTAGTGTTGAGGATATCCACGGCTTGTTTCTGAACGATGAGGTTTGGGAAGAGAAGACGCCAATGGCTGGCTGGTCCAAAAGGCCGAAAATGAGCGCTAATGGATTCATGGGTAGCTGGATGGTAGAGATTAGGGTTATGAAGTTGGCCACTTGTTTTCAGAATGAAGAAATTAGTAGGCATAGCCAGAATCTGTTGCAAGGTTGGTTTTTGACATCCACAAAGAGGGCAAGTAGATAGAGCAGCATCAGTTTTCGAAAAGAGACAGGGCATGTAGGCACGGTGGATAATCTTAAGTTGCTGTTCCCGCCAGAACTCATTATGATTGAAGGCACATGTGGAGTTGTAGCTGGATAGTAGATGGTCAGCCGTAAATGCATTTCCGAAATCCTTGACCCAGGACTTCACAGCATTGAAAGTCTCGAAAGGCTTGGCATACAGTAGATTCAGGGGTCTGTATATATTCGATATTTTGTATTTTCGAGAGTTCGCTAAGACCTCAATGAATGTAGATTGAAATCTTGTAGACTTCGTAGGCTCCACAGAGTTGACGAAGTTTCTTACTTGAAGCATGTATAAAAAGTGGTGTGCTGGTAGACCGTAGGTGAGTGGGATAGTATGAAGGGGTTTCGGGGAACCCGTAGAGGCAACAAACAAGTGTTGCACCAAAGTTAAGTCTT